TCTCTCTCTCTCTCTCTCTCTCTCTCTCTCTCTCTCTCTCTCTCTCTCTCTCATACTACCGCAGCGCGGAGGCAATCTCGACGGCGTCGGATACTTTGTGCTATCGGATCGCGTCGATATATAGACGGCAAATTTCGACCTAACGAGAACGAATGAATCGCGAATCACGTCCGCTTTTCAGAGGCGGAGATAATCTAGTCGCTTGGTGACGACTTTGGAGGAGGAAAGAACACCGTCGTTGCGCGACGTATGCAAGTTTTCGCAACGGGAACGTGCTTCTCCGCCTGCCCTAGACGCGAGACGAACAAGTGTCAAAAATACGCCGTTTGAAAGGAGAAATACACACACACATGATACACACACACACACATGACACACACACACACACACACATGATACGCATACATGATACACACATACATGACGCGCACACAACAGTCGACCTCGCGCGCTATCGTCGAAGCGCCTTCCGACAAACTCCACGGCGAGCCTACCCTTTGATCGATTCTCACAGATGGACGGATTTTACATGTGACTTGGCTGAGTCCCTCCCATCCTCTGTTGCATCATCGTCAAGAGCAGATCAGAGTACTGCTGCATCATACTGACTATCTTGCCCTGATCCTGACCGGCGAGTAGCTCCTTGAACTTCGCCGTCGCCTCGTTCGCCATCACGCTCTCGCCGACGTCGTTACTGTGATTCTCGGCGCCGGCCACCACCAGCCGCAGAGTGCGCATCGTCTCATTGACGGACGACTCGAGGCCGCGCAGCATCGTGTCCCTGTCGATTGCGCCGCCGGCCGGATCGTCGTCGTTGTCGATCGTCAGACGCTTGTACAGCTGCACCACGTTGTCCGCGGTTCGCGTGAGCTCGTCCGCGATCGTGTTGCATAGCTGGGTGGACACTGCAAGAATGCGATGTTACTAAGTCGCGTGCGGCTCATGATTCCGGTGATGTCGCGGTTATATCAATGATATAATAAATGACGTATCGTGCAGAGCGTGCAGGTTTCACATTGGTTTGAAAATCCGTACGAGACCATGCTATTATGACTGAGATGTCTAATCGAGATGCATAGTCGTGTCTAATGACGAGCTATGAACTCGCGCGACGTCTAAGAGCGTGGATCTTATGAGTCTTCGAATGGCCTACGTATGATTCGTCTCCGAAGAGACAACAATCGAAATTGGCACGAGCGAATGAGGTACATGATATACATTTTTATACACAGTATATGTACAAACTGCTGACGACGGCTCTCTCTATCTTGCGTAAAAATTCTATGCGGCAGATACGAGCTAAACGCCACGTTAATTCGCATCGAAAGAGCATATCCCAGGTGTGAACTAAATGAATGAGAAATTAAACGGACAGTACAAACAAGAGAACAGTGTCGTACGAATCGAAGTGTCGTACGACTCAGCTGTCGTGTATCTCGGCCCGCAAATTTCGATGTCGTAACGTGTAGCGTTTATATGTACAGCCGTTTATATGTCACCGCTCTCCTCCGTTCACGAACTTTCAAACAGTGTCAACACGAGCTTGAAAACGAAAAACCTTCCTGCCATAGCATGATCACTTACAAATTTTGGGTACAGTGAAATTACATTCACAGCACAGCATTCTCAATAGGTGTCTCTAGATTACCTAATGCTTTATCCGTGCCTACTGCAAGAATAAAACTGACATTAGATCGAGGTTACATAGATTAGTCGACGAGGGAGAAGATTGACCGATCAACGCCGGTGCTACATGTGTCTGTGGCCGCGCGAGCGAATTTCACGCGGGACAGACGCGCGCGCGTGTGTGTCATTAATTCTGCGATCTTGCATGCTTACATTTTTTCCGCGAATGATAATGCAAGGATGACTGTGATCTCGCTTTGTGACGCGTTTGACGTTTGTCTTTCGTGTACTCACACTCGGCACTAGCTACATCGATGGCACGATCCGTGTCTTTGACCGGTAGTTCATGCGGACTAGGCTCCAGTTGGTTCCTGTTGGTCGTGGACATCCTGCCGCTTCCGTTTTGCCCGATTCCGCTGGCGCCACTGCCGCCACCGCCGCCACCTCGACCGTTTGTTATAATCGTCGACGATCCGGACCTTCTTACCGTCGTACCGGGTAAACTTAAGCTAAAAACGTCATTTGTCACTTAGCAACGTGTGCATTATTATTGAACAGAGTTTAATATGGATACTGAATTTAAAATAAAAAATAAACTAAAAGTAAAAATAAACTAAAATGAAAGTAAATAAAAAATAAAGAAGTAAACTAGACTAGAAATAATAGTAAACTAGACTAGAACTAAACAAGAAGTAATGTTTTAATTAAATTAATTATAAATTCTTCTCTAATTGAATTAATTTTTAAATTATTTCTACACTGAGAGAAAAAAATGATTGATCTGACTAAAATTATAGTTATTTTTGGTCCCAACCATATTTCTTTGTAGTAAAATGGCAGTAATAATATGCATATAAAGTTATTATCACTAGCATTATAGTAGAATTTAGTAAAAAATGATTTTCTCGACTATAATTTATTAATAATAATTATTTTTGTGTGATCATAGTTACGAATACCAAACATTTTTTTCTCAGTGCAAAATAAACTCGATAAGCGTGCGGCGATAAATTTTGAGCAGTAAACTAATGCAAAGTACACTTACCTAGCAGAGGAATGGTCGATACTGATACTCCTAGGCCTCGGTGGTAGCGCCGGCTTTCCATTCGAAGAGGTATCCTCCGAACTCGAGTCTTCTTGGTTTCCCACTTGACTTAGATTCACTATAATACGATCGTGAGTGTTATGAGTGAGCAGCATGCGATGAAACAAAAGACATTGACGTAAAGGACGTTTGGTTTCTAGTGCAAGCCATAAATAGAAGGAGAAAAAGTAGCAGAGAGATGGAGAAGAATAAAAAAGTAATAATAAGGATTTCAAGTACCGGTCGAGAAAGCTCCCTGCATTCCACGTCTTCTCAAAACCGACGGGAGATTGCTGCCGGACGAGTTCGACTTGTTCTGATGATTGATCTTATTCTGCGAACTGATCGTCGGCCTCATCAGGCCACTTATCCTGCTGTTGCCCGACTGGCCGTTCCACCCTCTGCTTCCTCCCGTTACACCGCCGGCATCCGACTCCGAATCGCTCTATTGACACGATAATAATTGTTACTTTAGGGCTTCTTGTACCTCGCCGGCCATGTCGGATTTGTGGATGTCAGAAGCGAGGAATGACATGCTGACGAAAGTTGCGTGCCATTTCTGAATAAAACTAAATACGGACAAAATAACAGCTGAGATCATTTGTAAAACTGTCCGAAAACTATTTCCTTTTCTTGATGATCAGTCAAACATGGCCGCGGTGAAGTACGAGGAGTCTTAACGCGAATGCGTTTGAATTCTTCTCAGACGTCGCGACGTCTGATGTCGCGACGTGGGACGTACTTGGTTCAAGACGCCGACGCTGCTGCTTCTCGTCATATGAGTCGAGTGATTCTTGCCCAAGATGTGTCTGGACTGACCGCTGGAATTGGTGCTCCCGGATCCCGTTCTGGACGCGACGTTTATGTTCTTGCTTCCCAGTTTCCCTGGAACTGTCGTCGCAGATTAAGAGAAGGAATCTCGCCTCGCCGGAGTACACTTGTAGCATACGTCGAACATAGTAATTTATACGAGCAAATGGATGCAAATTCGAAGTTTAAATGGAAAAAAACATTCCGTACGAAATGATAAAAAGATACCTTGTATAGGGCCATGCAGTAACCTATTTGAAGGGTTGACGGAAAGATCACTCAGCGAACAGGCGCGTCTCATGCCACCCCCTTCTTCTTCGCTGTCAATAACTTTTGACGAGATTCGCCCCCCACTACTGCCAACTGTCAAAAATGCACACACACATGCACTAATTGCTACTGTTCGCGATGGTGTTCTTTTTTGTCTCTGGTGGAGACGATAAAAGTAAAATCTTATTCTTAAGAGCTTGAACAAGTTACAGCGTGAAAGCCATCGCTTTCATCGATAACGAGAATATGAAGATAAATAAAATCGAAAAAGACACAAAAAACATATTTCAAGTTGTAGGCAAAAATATTTGAATTCAAGGCTCAGTCTTAATCTTACAAGAAAAGAGAAATTCAACGAGTCAGGATTCGAATTCGACATCGAGCTTCTTGCATTAATTCGTCAGTAACAAAACAGAGGAGCGAGATGGCGAAGCGGGTTGGTGATCGAGGAGGTGGGATAACGTTACATCGAAATGAGAGAAAAGCATGCCGTTGCATTCCGTATAAATTAGAAAATGACGAAAGAAAAAAAGTACCAACGAAGCCTCCACAAACGTTCTCGTGACTAAAAGCGTTCAAACTGAAAAGTAATTTGCTGCCGCTTCGAAAGAAAATCGCATACATACACACACACATATATATACATATATATGTATGATCGTAAAGCGATGAGAGCTGATCTCGCAGTGCTTCAACGAGACGACGGCTCATCTAAATCTGCATCTAAATCTGCATCTAAATCTATTGCGCACATTCACATAGATGGGATATGTACACGCATGAAAGTATATCTTCCGTCGAGACGGTGTCATAAACGTGCCGATGCAATCGTTTTGTCGTGTGTATGAATATGTAAATGTGAGTATTCGCAATGTATATATGTATGTTGGCTACACGTTTTCTCTCCCGCTTTCGGGATTACGTACTATATACATGGTGACACGTAAAAATGACAAGCAAGCATTCTCTCTACATTCTCCTTTCTTCTGTCTTTCCTTCTCTCTCTCTCTCTCTCTCTCTCTCTCTCTCTCTCTCTCTCTCTCTATCTTTTTCTCTTGGTACCTGCATAAGGATACTTCGTGGGTAGGATCGCCTGATTGATCGTCGGCAAGGTTTTCGTCCACCTCATGTGACTCTGACAACGCGACGCGGGCGGCCACATTCTCTTTGGCGAATTGGTGCAGCTCGAGGCGGAGGTGGAGGAGCCGCTCTCCATCAGCGACCTGTCCATCGCCGACAGGTCGGCGCAGTCGCTGTCCTCGCCGCCCGAATGCAGGCGCATCTGATCGCGCTTGATCGCGTAGAATCGGCCGTCCCGCTCGGCTTCCAGCTTGGCGAAGTTCTCGCTGGTCTCCTGACAGTGCGTCAGCCGCAAGCAGCGCTCCTTCATGAAGTACTGTTTCTGCCTCACCAGATTCTCGAACTCCTTCGAGAGCAGCTTCACCGTACCCTCGATGGCGCGCGTGATCCTCACGTCGACACTCGCGTCCAGGTTGTCGATTCGCTCGTCGGCGGACCGAAAGTCTGCGCCGCTCGACTGCGACTCCGTCGGTTGCAGATTTTTCAGGGTACCGCTGGTCTCCAACGAGTCGTAATCTTCGCCGGTATCCTTCGTCGGAATCTCGTTTTCCAAGCAACGGATTCTCTCCTGCTCGGAACAAGCGCTCGGCTCGTCGACGGCGGAAGCATCGTGGATGCTCGCGAGGTAATGATTCTTCGCTAGATGCGGAGAGTCGTCGTACAGTACCACCTCTCTTTGCACGTTGACGTTGCCGTCATTACGATGGCTTGGCAGACTGAAGAACTTGTTCCTGCCGTCCTTGTCGTCGTCGGATTGTGTTGTATAGCTAGACTGTAAGAACTGTTCGATCGTCTCTGAGCTGCTCGGGTGGTCTCGTTTCGCCTGTGGATCGGTCGATCGAACTAACCGGTGCTCTGGATGAGTCGGACTCGCGGAGGACGGTGGGATGTAATTGTCGGCTTCGGAACTCTTCGCAGCGGGCGATAATGACGGCGTGTCGATGTACTTCCAGCTCGGTCGAGCTCGGTTGCGCATACTCTGGGTGCGCGATGAATTCCTTTTGGGCTTTGGCGGCTTGTGAGCGACGAAATCGTTGAGGATCATCATCGACTCCGGCTTCGTGGGCACCTTCAGGCTGTTACTGCGCGAGATCGTCTCCGAGTTATCGCACATGTTCGTGCTCACGGCGTCCTTGTGGTCGTTATCAGAGTTGAATTCGTAATATATGCGCGCCCTCGACGGCGATCTGTTGCTGTCCTCCGCGAAGTTCATGTCGTTCTTCGCGTTGTTGATCCTCGTGTCCTGCAGGGACTTGGATCGGAACACCGCTCTGCATAGCGTGCCCTCGTCGGCGGAGCTGCGCGTGCTGTCCGCATAGATCTCTACGATATTATTGGGATTGCCGCTGTAGGTCTCAGAGTTCTGCCGCTTGCGCTTGTAATGCGAGTCGAACAGCATCTCCAGAGGCGCGGACTTCACCATGGAGTCGGAATCGTCCGTCAATACGCTCTCGGTGCTGCGATGGTCGGCGTTCTCGCGCAACGGGAACATCTGGTAGTCCGACTCGTCGGTCAATATGCTGTCCTGACTTCTGCCGGCTTGCATCTTCCGTCGGGACAGGAAGAAGCTCGCGCTCGAATGCCGGTCGGGGTCGCAATGGTTGTAATCGAGGATCTCGGCGCTTCCCTTGGAAAAGGATTCCACGGACGCGTCCGAGAGTATACTCTCCTGCGAGCCGGATAAGATTCTCCTCTGGAAATTCTGGTAGTTCGAGTAATTCCTGTAGTCGTTCACACGGATATTTATCTGATAGTCACTGACGCAACGTCGTGGCGGATTCTTGAAGTCACCCTCCAACGAGTCGTCGCTGAAATTACCGTTCCCCTCGTCGCCGTCGTCCACCATGCTCTCTTTGAGATTCTCCAGGTTACGCTCGTTCATGGCGGGCAGGCTCTCGAATGACTTCGCGATGTTCTCCATGTCCTCCTCGTTGTCGTCCAGACCGATGAAGTAGCTGCACGATCTCCGCTTCTGCGCGAATCTCGCGAAGCGACTCACGTCCTTCTTACATTGCTCCTTCAGCAGTTTCAGCTCCTCGCACACGGGCGACTCGGGTAAAGACTGATGATTAGTCTTGTTCAACGACAGCTTATACTTTTCAGTTTTCTTTAGTGTCAACGTTAACGGACGGCTGAGAGTTGGCTTGGTCGCAGTCGGACTTTTGGACAGGCAATTATTATCGCTCGGCAATTCTAGCTTAGACAATGCATTCCCCACACCTTGTATCTTGTTAATGAGTTGCTGGGGTTTAAGCGCGGGCTTTGGGTTTAACGTAGGTTTGCAGGGATTAGTCGATTGTGAGAATTGATTTTGCTGACTGGATCGATTACCTGTACTGAGCCTGTTCGAACGATGATGCTTCTCCGGTATGTGGCTGCTCAGGTCAGATATGCTCTGGCTGGCTTTCAATGACGATCTATAGCCGACCTGGGGAAAAATTAATACAAACAACAAATAAGTCTTCTCAGAAACTTTGTACGTTTCACGCGAGACGTTATATTTACACTTTGCAGTTTTCTCCTAGTCTCCTCTATTCTCCTCTGCAACTCCTCCCGCTTCTTCACTACGTCGGCGTCACCTCTCGCGTGCTTCGTGGCATTAACTACTGCCGCGTTGCGGATCTTGGCGCCGACGTTGCCTTCAGTACCGCCGCTGAGCCTGCAACGTTCGTTTTCCAAGTTAATCGATAATCGTTATAATGAATAGTCGTTACAATACTAAGTGTACGGATCAGTGATGAGTCAGTGAATGTTATCTTCACCTTCCGTGAAATTGCGAACTAATGCTCGTAGCTTTTACGCGATTCGGCGGCTCTTCCGCTCCACTGAGCGACTCGAAGGCGTTTTTCAAGTACTTCTCCCTATGACTCTGCTTGGCGAGCTGATCGAAGCCCTCCGAGCTAGCCTCGGACAACATTGACAGTGGGTTTCTCTCGGCGCTTGGAGTCGACGCTCCTCCTTCCGAGTCGGACTCGTCCTGACTGCCAGACGCAGTCAATTCGCTCGTCCGACCGTTCTCCGCGTTCTTTAATCTCTTTTGCCGCCTTTGCGACCTGCATACGTCGAAGAACGCGTTTCACGTTACTTTGCACGAAGCTCTCATGGCGAGAACTGGGGGAGGAGACGCATTTATGTATATTACAATTCGTGAACGTACCTTCGGAGTTCCTCGACGTCCATCGCGTTAACGGTGAATTGATTCGACACGATGTCTTCTGGCGGCGGATAATACATTAACCTATGGTGCGACTTCTCCGAACCGGTCGTTCCATTTTCCCCCTCGGAATAGTCCTCGACGTCGCCGTCGTGCTCCGTGCTCTCGTGATCCTGAACAACACGTGATGCTCTTTTAATAAAAGCAGGATAAGCTGCGATACATGTAAGCTATAAATATAATGATTAAAGTGATAGATTTGAAAAAAGAACACACTTAACGTGCAAAAGCCATATATGAAACAATAACATCAACTAAAACCAATGGATCGGTGGAAATGTTTTATTTATACAACGTATGGCTGCATTTTGCGAAAAAAAAACAAACAAGCGGTGTTATCTCCCGAAAAAGGCGATCTTTTATAAAAACGACAGTTTCTCAAAACGTTTCTCACGCTTAAGTAGGATATACCTCGAACTTAAAGCTGCCAAGACTGCTATCGTCGGTGTGATGACGACTCCTCGATTGACGTGTCAATTCCGTGATATTGCTACTTCTTACAGTCACCTTACCATCAATCGCCTACGTGAGTGATTGAAATAAAATGTGATCAACGGATGAGTATGAGCGACGAATTGAAGTTCTGGTTCGAGATTCAAATTAAAGAAGCAAGCAAAGCAAATCAAGGAAGGAAATGGACCCGTTATCACCGGTTTTTGTATGTGTATGTGTGTACAGATAAAAAAAAAACAACACGCATGCGTTAAGACGAAACATTCTGAACATTAGCAATTGCGTTAGTACCTGTTTCGCTTCGCTTTCTATCTCTCTATAACTTTCCGTACAAGGTTGAAAAACGCTTTCCTCCTCTTCCTAAAATCGCAATCAAATGTTAATTATTCCGTGCCTACGTCCAAAAATGTGAGTAATGTCATCACGTTATGACTAGAAGAGCTTCTCGTATTACCGCGTGATTAGGTAAGCATGAATATTACGAAATAAAAAAAAGTTTAACGAGCGTTGTTTCGAGTATTAGAGGCAGTTGCAGATTTCTCTCGTGAGTTGCCGCGTCGCGAACATTCGTTTCCGATACGAACCCTCTTGATGATCATCGTCTCTCGACGATAGTCGCTGCTGCATTTCGTCTCGGTGCCGCTGTCGATGGAGCTGTCCTTGGAGCCACCGCCGCCGCCACCACCGTCGGAATCGATGGCGCTGCGCGACGGAGGAAACGGTATAACCTCGTCGCTGTCGTACACGGACTTGACGGTGATACCGTCGCCCTGCTGAACTCGTTGCGCCCATCTTCCCTTCGGCAGATCGACACCGAGCGACCTGACGTTCGAGCCGAGCGCCGCGCCGCTGTCGTCCGCGCTGCTCGCCGCAGTGTTTATCTGCTTCTTCGCCCACAGCGGTAACTGACCCACGCTGAATCGGTAATCCACACCGATGACGTTCGGCGGCGTCGGGTTTGCGTTAGGATCCAGGAATTCCGGTGGGGGCGGCCCGAAGGTCTCGTTGTCCAGCTGTACCTCGATTCCGCCGCCGTTCACTTGAGGTGGTTTCCTGTGGACAGAATTCAAATTAAGGATACAGTTAGGTCTTAATGAGCAAGTGATTCAACTCATGGACGGAAATTACAAATGGGACAACGGTACACTGTACATGTGACTTTATGTTTTATGTGACAGACGCCAGTCTGATTGTTCGAGAGGATATAACAGCGATTCATCACATATCACTCCTTTCACGAGATTGATTCAGACATCTTTTCCCATAGAATACACACTCATTTGGCGGCATATCGCTATTTGAAAAACGTTTGCTCATAAAAAGAACATTTATTCTTTGAAACATCTTTGGATCAAGCTAATATATGTGACTTTATGTCACGTTGCAAAAATCCAGTTTAATTAATGAAGGAAATGACAATAATATCTTACATATACAATAATATCTTACAATAATATCTTACATCATACTTCTTTTATTAGATTGGTATTGAGGAGTTTATTATTAAGTATTTTCCCATGGAATATATATATATATATATATATATATATATATATATATATGTATATAT